TGTGTGTGGTGTGTGGGGGGGGGGGGGTGGAAAGACAACTCTCTCTGAAGTGTAGTGCTCGCTCCGGCAAGGGGGCCCTTGCCTGTAAATGCCCATGCTGTCCCCCGGTGCTGACCGGAGACCTCTTAGCTGCCTTTGGCAGGCATGGTGAGCTGCCTGCTGGGCGCTGCAAGCATGGTGCTGTGATGAGGCAGAGCGCAAGTGATTCAAGGGCCGGAGCAGCCCCGAGACACTCCCCGCCACAGGTCCCCAGTAGATAGGGGAATCTCTGAATGTTCAGTGTTGATAAACCTGGAGTGTCTCAGAGGGCACGTGGTGGGGAGGTGAAGAAAGTCCAGACCTTCTCCACCAGATCCAGCTCATGGAGAGAGGCAGAACAAGCGGCTCCACACGTGCTCTGCCTCCATCCAAGAGCTGGGTCTGTCGGGAAGGTTCGGGCTTTCTTCACTCCCCTCACCATGCACCCTCTGAATGGGAAGTTGGAGCTGGTGCTGCACTCTCATGGCTGTGCAGCAACTACGAGTCTTGAGCAGCAGTACAGGTTCCCCACTGTGTGGAAGAGAAGAGGGGGACTGAACTTAAGCCATGAAACTGGGAACCACTGGTATAAAGCTAAACCCCAATATAGCAATATAAACAGTATTCATGTCATGATGTTTTAAGTCAAGTGTTTTCAATGTTTTTTTCTAAATGAATGTAGTGTGAGTGTACACAACTCTTTTTGGCTGAAATTAGCCTTCAGAACAACTTAACATACTTTCTATCTTAAATATTTTTCAGAAGCCTACAAACTGCATGATGAATTAAAATGGATGGTTTAAGCCTTCAAGTTGTGCAAATATCACACTGGATCATAACACTAACATTTTGAAATTAAGTATAAATTAAAGTACTGTATATTTGAGACAGTTTGTGCATATGTGCATGCACCTCTGTCTATTGAAGAACTCCTCCTAAACACCAAGGTTACGTTTCAACTACAAGCCTCTTTTGAAAGAGAGCGTCTAGACTACAAGCTGCTTTTTCAAAAGAGTCTAGACGCTCTCTTTCGAAAAAGCACAGTTTGCATTCAGTAGCACCGTCTTTCGAAAGAGTACTTTTGAAAAAAGGCGTTATTCCTCGTAAAATGAGGTTTACCGTGATCGAAAAAACTGCTGTGTTCTTTTAATTTACTTTCGAAAGAACGCGGGTGCATTCTAGATGTAGGTGAAGTTTTTTCGAAAAAAGGCTATTTGTATACCAGATTCGGTACACAGCTTCCTTATTATCATAACTTAAAGCAAAGTAGGGGTTTGGTTGTGCCAGGAAAATGGGATGTGCCTGTAATGGGATTGCTTCTCATAAAACGATACAGAAAAGAGAGAGAATCACCAAGCAGATAAAATGAGCTGGCAGCGGGTGCTCCTCCTCACATCCGGGATTGCCTCAGCCCCAAGCTTCCCACACACAGGCAACCTTTAGGGAGGGCAGTGAGCTGAAGTTCCCTTCCTCTCCCCCTATTTATACAGGATCATTACTGATTGTTCCCCTCTGTCAGGGAGCAAAGGAAAAGTGCAATTTGCTGTATTCCTCACTCTGGCTGGGGAACACAAGGGGCAGACAAACAGACCTGTCCCAGCAGTGGTACATGCACCGTTCCCCAACTGTGCTTGCTGCAGTGGCCATGGAGAGGCGCTTCTCACCTGGCCCAAACCCATTATGGTGAGAGAGGACTGGGCTTGTCCTCTCCCCTGGGCAGCTTGCATACTGAGCCCCTCATCTTCAGCCCCACCCTAGAGCAATGATTTTAATGAAGAAAAACAAAAAATTAACTGAGTGATGGACATGAGCAATGCCATGATTACGTCGCTCTGTCCTCCCACAGGAAAAGTTGGTGGTTTGTTTTTTTTTAATAGAGAGACAGATGTAAAATGGAGTTTCACAGTGAAAATTAATCATTTACTGTTAATTCCTGTCCCCTGATGAGACTATGAACATTGTAGGGAAGTAAAATGAGAACCAGTACAGTTCTTTACGCAGCATATTCTCGACCTGGGGAATGCACTGTCACAGGAGATCAAGTCGAAGGGGCTGATCCTGGGCTGCATTGAGCATGCGTACGTCCTGTTCAATGCATTTGGTGCTGAATATGTGAAACATCTCTGAATTTGGCTACAACCAAATATTATGGCTACAACCTTTCCTCTTCAAAAGACAGGATAATTGTGTGACTAGTAATATTTGAGATAAGATAAGGGTAATCGAATCCTATGTTATGGTGCTTAAAATCTTATTGCCAAGGATTAGGAAAGGATTTCTTTTTTTATCTTCCTGAGTAATTATTGTGGAATTGGCTGGTGAGGTATGGGTGTTTTTTCTTTCCATTGAAGCATCAGGTATTAGCTATAGTTGGAGACAGTAAAACATGCAAAGTGGATTCAAGCCTGATCTAGTAAGGGCAAGTAAGGAATCCAATGTGGTGTTCTGTTTAGGGATGTAAGCAACTAGTTGACTACCCAGTAAGCCTCATATTAGGTAGTCGAGTCACTATTCAACTAGTTGCTTTCCCCCCTTGCTGCCTCTGTATCGAAGGCACCAAGTGGGGGGGAAGCAGGAACCGGTGCTGGGGGGAGATGACTTAAAAGCCAGTTCTCCCCAACGCTGTCTCCGCAGAAGATCAGGGGAGGAGGCAGAGGCGCAGTGGAGGAAACAGCACAAGTGGGGACTGAAACAGTCCTTGCTCACACAGAGTCCTAGCTGCTGTGCCTCTTGGCTCTTATACATTTCTAAGGGAGAGGTGCAGCAGTTGGGACCCAGCAGGAGCAGGAAATGCTTCAGTCCCCACTCACATGGGTTCCTCGCTGCACCTCTTTTTTTTAAATGTACAAGAACCACGAGCACAACACAGATCCTTATCAAGTAATTGATGGAAATTCCATCAACTACTCAAGTAGCTGATTAATCGAAATTTAACATCCCTAGTTCTTTTGATCCGTTTTTGAATTCTGCACCAAAAACTTTTTTGTCTGTCTGAGAATTGACGATACAAAAAAATCCAATGGATTAAATGATTCTCTCTCCTTTTTGAAAATAATTTTTTAAAAGCCTGAGGGAAAAAACGTTTTAAATAAGAACGAAAGACAAGGAAACTTTCTTCAAATAAGAGGAAGGTTGGTTAATTATCTGCACTCTAAAATGTGTTGGATTATTACATTTAAAAGCAATTTCATCTAGAGATTGGTATTCAGCACAGGAAAGCACCTTGGGAAATAAGCAACATGTATAAAATGTAATATACTTAGCTTTAATACATGCAGCTGTCATAGTCTAGAAATCGCAGCTCCCCAAAGCTGGAAGTAAGTCTCTGCAAAGCTTGAGACAATTTTGATATGTACAGCCAGAAAGTAGTATAGTCTGTGTTCTTCAAGGTAAAATAAAGCATAATCAAAAAGGTTTATCAACTGTTCTGAGGCAGGAGTGTGCGGCCTTTGTAAGGTATGATAGTTTAGAATCCTAAATAGTACAATAATAGAATTTATAGTTTTAATCAACTAGCAACATAGTAAACCTGTAGTATCGCTTGTGGTGGTTAGTTTTACATTAAAAAGACATAAGAGACTTATTTTGGTAAATATAGAGAAAATATTCCATTTATAATTTCTCCTTGGTAATTGAGGCGGAATGAATAAAATGATACTAAACTGTTTAAGATAGTCAAGACAGAAGCAGACTGTGAAGAACTTCAAAAAGATCTCCCCAAACTGAGTGATTGGGCAACAAAATGGCAAATGAAATTTAATGTGGATAAGTGTAAAGTAATGCACGTTGGAAAAAATAACCCCAACTATACGTACAGTATGATGGGGGCTAATTTGGCTATGACAAATCAGGAAAAAGACCTTGGAGTTATTGTGGATAGTTCTCTAAAAACTTCCACACAGTGTGCAGCGGCCGTCAAAAAGGCAAATGGGATGTTAGGAATTATTAAGAAAGGGATAGAAAATAAGACACTGAATATCTTACTGCCCCTGTATAAAACTATGGTATGCCGACATCTTGAATACTGTGTACAGATGTGGTCTCCTCATCTCAAAAAAGATATTTTGGCCTTGGAAAAGGTTCAGAAAAGGGCAACTAAAATGATTAGGGGTTTGTAATGGGTCCCATATGAAGAGAGGCTAAAGTGACTGGGACTTTTCAGTTTAGAAAAGAGGAGACTAAGGGGGGATATGATAGAGGTATATAAAATCATGAGTGGTGTAGAGAGAGTAAATAAAGAAAAGTTATTTATTGGTTCCCATAATAGAAGAACTAGAGGACACCAAATGAAATTAATGGGTAGCAGGTTTAAAACTAATAAAAGAAAGTTCTTCTTCACACAGTGCATAGTCAACCTGTGGATCTGTTTGCCAGAGGAGGCTGTGAAGGCTAGGAATATAACAGAGTTTAAAGAGAAGCTAGATAATTTAATGGAGGTTAGGTCCATAAAAGACTATTAGCCAGGGGATAGAAATGATGTCCCTGGCCTCTGTTTGTCAGAGGCTGGAGATTGATGGCACAAGACAAATCACTTTATCATTGTCTTCGGTCCACCCCCTCTGGGGCACCTGGCATTGGCCACTGTCGGCAGACAGGCTACTGGGCTGGATGGACCTTTGGTCTGACCCAGTATGGCTGTTCTTATGTTATGTTCTAAAATATGAAAGAAACATCCATGTTTGAGCCGTGAGCATGGCATGTTACAGTTCTGGGAGACAGCTGTGGACTGTTTCAGTACTGGTGTTATTGCCATGTATGGGGAATACTTAACCTGTATTCATATATAAGTATCTAGATGAGTCTTGTCTGTGCTTCATTTATTTGGCTTTCCTTAGGACATTTGTTTATTGGACACAACACAGACCATGTGTGTGCATACACACACTTCTCTGCTTTGTGTACCATTGTCTCCTCCTGGATAGAATGTCAGATCTGCTCCAATGTGTGACTAGCCCTCAAATGGCTGCATCTTCAGAGATTATAAGTACATGGCCTACTGTACATTCACGTGTCGCTACTTACCAGTGTTGGTGGTAGTTTGCATTCTGAGGATGGCTAAATTCTCTTTTCTGCTCAACATAGCGGAGGTCAACTCCAATACTCTGTTCTCCGTATATTGAGAGAGCCCATTGACTTAGATGGAAATCCATTCAGATAGGGCAGAATATACAAATCAAGATCTGCTATGTATTTCTAAAGAAACTTCTCCTCTTGCATTTCATCTCTTCCAGCCCAACTCATCACTGCTGCAGCTAGACCCTTTTTCCAATTCTAAAAACTCTCCTATGCAACTCTCTGTGAAGCATCTGATACTTCATTTAAAAACATGCACAAATAAAATTGTATAGTACTGCATTATCTTTAGAAAACAGATGTTCATTTGTGTATGAATTGTTTATATTCTGTAGTTGTGCAGATGATCCTGCAAAAATATTACTACATTTTTTTTTCTTGCTTTGTAAAATCTTGTATCACTCAATTTCTGTATTGCTACAGAGTTCTCTAGGGTTTGCCTTTCAGAAAGGATAATACCTTCCGGCTTTATCTTCACTTTCCCCCTTTCCTGTTTTCTTCTATATGTTTGCATTATTTACCTAGTTAATGGGCAGTTTTGTGTGTGGAGTAATTTTTTTTATTGAATTGACCTTGGCAACAGTGCTGTGGGCAAGAAGCTCCTCCATGAAAATTACTTGATGCATAAAGAAAAACTTATTTGATTTTATATAATATAATGTACCAATATTATTCTGAAATACTTTCCCTTTATGGCTGCTGTAAAGGAATATAAGCTAAAGTCACAATATATTGCCCTTCTTGAAAGTCACATAGTTCATGACCTGTAGAATGTTATAGATGATTAGAAATTATTTCCTTCTAGAACAATGTACAACCTTTAAATGATTGCTTTTAATTTTGTTGATGCAGTTTGGGCCAGAAAATCCATTTAGGACTCAGCAGATGGCTGCACCTAGGAATATGCTTTCTGGATATGCAGAACCAACACATATCAATGATTTCATGTTTGAACAACAAAGAAGAACATTCGCAACTTATGGTAGGACCCCGCTGTCTTAAACTGTGTCTGGACCTGTAATAGACTTAAATATATTGAGTGAGAATGTGCATTGTTATAGATAACGGCATTTATTTTGGAAATGTTATTCAGTAATTCTCTCTAAAACATTAATTAAGTGTGAGACTGCCTACTGAATCATTTTAATTAATACTGCCATTAGTTGTGGTTACATAGAAGAAAGAAATTACAATTTCACATTTTAACAGACTGACAAAAATTATAAGTTTATTGTGCGTCTGGGGAGAGTATGTCATATGAGTCTTATCAAAATGTATCTTATCTGAAAATTAAAGCTTCTTACTATAGCAACTGGTTCTTCATTATGGTTGCATGTATGGATCCACACTTCCCACCCGTATTCCCCACTTCTTCAATATTTTGTTCATGATTTCTGAATAAATGGAAGGAAACAGATGATGGTTGGTGCCACCACCCTTCTTTAAAGTTTTGCCTTAGCAATGCGGGCATTTCTGGCCTCAATAGAGGATACTTGCTAGAAGCTTTGAGCAGCGCTTGTTAAAGGCATTCATCTTTTCATGTGTAGATCCATATGGGCAATTGCCATAGCAACTGGTTATTTCATCTCAAAGAACCTTTTTTTAGCTTTCAAATAGCAACATTGTGAAAAAGCATAAAGCTCATTTTGATCCTGTTCTTTAGCTTGAATGGTGCTGTAGAAAATTTACAGTATCTAAAAGCAAATAAATTTCTGAGCTTTTTCCAGTACAAAGAATGTGCTGTGTATTTACATACAATTTTAACAAGTTTTCTTGTATGTTTCAACATACAAGGCTGTTGTTTTTTCACCTAATGTTTGTTCATACTTAAAAACGTATCAGTTTTTAAAATACAAAGTTTAATTTGGCATGCTTCTGGCGATATCAACACGAGAGATCTTACAGTGATGCTGCTGTACTGATGCAGCTGTGCTGCGGTAAGAACGTTTGTGTAGTTGCTTTATGCCCCTGGGAGAGAGCTCTCCCATTGACATAAGTGATCAACCCTCAGCTAACAGTGATAACAACGTCAGCAGGAGAAGCTCTCCCGCCGGTGTAGTGCTGTGCACACTAGTGCTTTTGCTGACATAATTTATGTTGGTTGGAGGAGAGGGGAAATATTCACACCCCTGAGCAACGTAAGTTTTGCTGACCTAAGTGGTAGTGTAGACATGCCTCTTTCTGACAAAGTATCAGAGTTTAAAGAGCATGAATTATCCACCAGGCAGGTTCTGAAACTTCCACACAAATTATTAAATAACATATAATACTCAGTCCATCACTGTTTAAGATCTGTGTTTTCAGATTCCTTTTCAAATTAAACTGTTTTGTTAAAGCCATGATCCTGCAATTGATTGCATGGCAGAACAGTCTGCCCACATGCTGAGCTCCACTGACTTCAATGCGGCACTGTGGCAGTGCTATCAGTTGTAGGATTGGTACAGCAAGTTTTAAATCATGAAAATGAGTCGGTGTGAATAATGCTTACCCAGAAAATTGTGAGCATGAAGTATCAAATTTTAAATAATTCTTTCAACTGTCATGAATTATCATTTAATGTGTGTATCTTCAAATTTTCTTTTTCACTTTCCCTTTGGTTTCTTGTTTTGTGTTTCCATATGCACCAGCTACCATTAGTACTATTTTATAAGTGTGAAACTCATTGGATATGTCTACAAGTGATTTAAGAAGACAGGACTGAGCCCATGTCCGCTGGCTCAGGCTCATAGGGCTGTTGGGCTATAAAATGTTGTTAGAGGCTCAGGTAGGGCCCCAGACTCTAAGACCCTTCCCCCTTTCAGAGAGCTCAGGCTCCACTCCATACCTAATATCTATAGTTTTATGGCCCCACAGTTCCAAGTCCTGCAAACCCAAGTCAGCTGACCTTCGACAGTTGTGGCCTTGCCTGAGGTCTTGTATTGCAGTGTAGACAGACCTATTTTTAGGAATAACAGAGAATAGTGTCAACCTTGTCCACAGCATCTTTGTATTCTGAAGTGGTTCTGCAGGTGTACTGTTTTCTGGAAGTGATGGAAGTGGAGCAGCAAAAAAAGCTGTGCTAGACTCAGTAAACCAGAAGAATCAGCATGAAAGCATTAGACGCTTCAGTTAGGAGGAGCAATAAATGAGAATTTTGATGCCTCAGCATATTAATAAGGTTGTTCTGACTTACTTGAAAACATACCAGAATTCTTGAAATACATTGCTGCAATCTCATTGTCTATAGAAAAGTTTAGCCTGAAAATTTTCCTTTTAGTTTTGGGCCGAGATTAAAAATTCTCATGGAAAATTGGATTAATAGTAGAGAAAAGTATGTAGTTGTATCTCTATATAGCTATGTGTAAGCAATGCTGCTAATTGGTTTTGCTTCCGCATACTGTGTAAAGTAATACTGCTTCAAAGTTGCACGTTTCAACAGCCTCCTGCCTCAGCTGTTAGGCATTTGTTTAATCCAGGAATTGGCAATCCTCTGCAAATAACTCATCCCCTGGCAGGCCAGAAGACATTTTGTTTCTGTTGACCACCTGCAGGCATTAGCCCCCGCAGCTGCCAGAGGCCGCAGTTTGCCATTCCTGGCCAATGAAAGTTGCAGGAAGTGTTGTGGATTGCAGGGATGTGCTGGCCGCCACTTCCCGTAGCTCCTGTTGGCCAGATATGGTGAACCACAGCTAGTGGGAGCTTTGGGGGGGGACCATGCCTGCAGATGGATTATTACCCTAATGGACTGCATACCAAAGGTTACAACTTGCTCCTGGAAATGAAAATAAGTGTGTTTGTAAGATAGAAGATCTTGCAGGAGAAATACGCTTGTAAAAGGAAATAAAGGGAATTGGTGAGGTGTTTCTCTGCCTTCCATCTAATCTATTTACTGTACTTAGCATTACAATCTTGTTTTATGTGTGATTTCTTTAAAATTCAATAGCCAACTAAAAACCTATTTACTGTATTGCTTGGCAAGCAAAATAAGTAGTTTTGTGGCTCAAGATATTTTCCTTCTTCTTTTCTAAAGTTAAGTACTTTACTTTCCTGTCAGCAATATTCTTTCTGTTTCTTCTCAAAAGGGTTGGGGCATACTCTTTACATGCTGGCAAGGTGTAAGTTCCCCAAGCTAGCCATTATGTCAGAGCAGGCCCACTTCATTGATCATCTTGCAACATTTTCACTCTCACCCTCGTATCCTGGCAAGGCTTTTCTCCACTAACTTGTTATTAAGTTGAAAGTGACTTTCTTGAATTAGCTTCTTATTCTTTTGGCATTAAATAGGTTCGGCTGTTTCAGAGAACCAGGTCTAAGTGGTTAGTTGGTAGACATCTGAAACACTTATTTTCATAAATATAGTTTGCCTATATTTTCAGAATGGATAAGTGATCATGAGTGCCTCTGTTTTTTAGATGGCAAACTTGAGATTCTTTAAAGGGCATGTTTATCAAGAAAGTGTTGTGCATCTAGCATTGAAGGACAAGCAAGACTTTCTACATACATTCACTGAATGCTGCTAGTCAAATCAGGAGTGAGATTTGGCCACTAATTTTTACAGGGCCCAAGTGTGTGACTTAGTGGGTGTTTCTGGCTGTTTGCGCACATAAGATATACTGAAACTATATTATCTCTGCATTCAAGTGTCAGTGTGAAAATACAGCTAATTTTTGCTGATTTTTCAATTGCCCATTCCATTGAGGGTTTTTTTAAATTTCAGTGAACACATCCTGGGAGTTTCATTCTGAAAGAGTGAAGTAATCTACTATCAGTGCATCTTTAAAGAGACTTATTTACCTGTATTTGTTCTGTTATGTGCATTAGGCTTGTTTGTGCTTATTTACACCAACTCTTTTCAGGTGCAGGGTGGAATGGAATTGTACTTTTCCAATCATTGTCAACATAAAATTTTGATATCTCTAATTTTAATTGCAATTAAAGAAAGATGTGAGTCAGCAGGTTGTGTAAATGTCTAGCATGCTAACACAGCGTGAAGATGTTTTCTGTTGCAACTGCATTTGGAACTCTGTCAGACTTCCCATTATGAAGTAGAAAAGCTTTTTTATAAGAAAAGGTACTAGGCCACATTCAGTCTTGCTTGTAAGTAGGCATGGCTCCAACTGAAGTCTGGTTTTGACCCAGTGGCTCTGTTAATCAGCTTGCTGTCCCTTCTCACTACTAAGCAAATGAGTCCCAGAGATGGTGGTGTTACAGTTTGAAAACAAATAAGCCACTGCATTGGTATTGGCATATATCCAAAGTTGCATTTTTGCTTTAAAAATAGAAGTCCTATAGTGCAAAGGAGCCCATTAGATGACTGGCTTCCTAACAGCAGGCAGTTGTTTTGTAAATCTAATTGGAAATGTCTATTCAGCTTGATTTTGTTCAACACATGATAGTATAACATTTAGCTAATCTATATATATAACGACTATTTCTCTCTTCTCCACTAACCCCCACTACCCAAGAGAAGGGGAGAATAGTTGTGCTGGTGCAGGGATATATGGAGAGACTCTTCTAGTGTTGTGGTTCACTCTATATGGAGCTACAAAATGTCAAATCATGTGGGAGTGCTATGTAGTGCTGTTTGCTTTGGTATTTCTCTAGGGATTTTGTTGGTCATCTTCTTAATTATCTGAATTCTGAGGTCTTATTCAAGTCTTCAAAGGACAGGCCCATTCAAATTTTTAATTAAAATTAATTCTATGTCCACAAGGGTGCAGTCTTTCTCAAAAAAAGGCATTAGTGATAGTAAGTATTCTGTGCACCTATTCCATAGGAATTCGATATAATTATGTGTCTTTACTATGATAATAAAAATTGTAGCATCTACTTGTCGTCTTTCCACCAAATTCCCACTTATTTAACACAACATCATGTTGTATTTCTTGGAATGTGAGTTGTGTATCAGTACAGCATGGTGCAGATTTAAAAATTAATATATTGCTGTAAACAGTTCCCTTTCAGGGATGTTCCTGAGGTTAGCACTCTGTACTTTAGCACATGGCTGAGTTCAGTAACTTGTCCAGTGATAAACTTATAATGGATTTGAACGCTCTTGAAGCAGACTCCAGTGGGATGTGAACATTAGGCAATGCTCTGCAATAAATACTATAGCTATGTGAGGAGAAAAGGTGATGGACTTCAAAGCATATCGCATCCAGACTTTCTTGGCTTAGGAAGGTGTCTTAATTATAAGGTTTTGAGGAAGATATATTGGGGTAAAGGTTCTCTGAGAACCAGGAGGAGAATCATACACTGAAAAGAGCATTTAAAACATATGTAGAACAAAAATTTCAGCTAATGACTGGTATTTTTGCTTTTATTATAGGTTATGCATTAGATCCTTCTCTAGATGATCATGACGTTGCTACTAAATATATTGGTTCTGTAGAAGAAGCTGAAAAGAATCAAGGTAAGTCATTGTCAAATTGGATGTAAACAAAATGGTTTTAATGACAATATTTTCTGTTGTTTTTCCGTTTTATAGAAAACAAATAATAGGCTATAGTGAAATTCTAGGAAATATTACCAAAAGTTTGTGATGTCACAAGAGATGCTCCTAAGACCGGAAGTCTAGACTGGTTTTTTTTTTTTTTGTAAATGCAATAATGAACTAAAGATACAAAGTGTGAAACAATTAAAAATGCCTAATGACTGTATCCGTGGGGCTGCAAAGGAGTAATGAGAAATATATTTTTGTGGACTTCGCATCAGTGTTCCCTCAAAACTGCGCAGTCAGTCAGCTCCTTGCAGGGAGACCCGAGCCTCTGACTGGGCAGGGCTGATTAATCACCTGTGAAGTTGTGCTGCTGCACAGTTTAGAGAGAACATTGCTTCACATGTATTTTGACTCATGAATGAATGATTAAGTAACATCCATCATACCTAGAATTTTAGCCTACCCATCTTCTCCTTACTTTGGATTAAATTAACTACATTTTTAAGTAGACAACTAAAGCAGCATTGTGATTCTGAAGACCTCTTCCCTTTTGATATTCTTTGTGTTTCTATACTAAAAATAGAATTACTTGTGTTCTTGAAATTAAATGTCACATAAACGTCAGTATCTATAGTGTTCTGTTTCTTCCTGCAGGTTTAACTGTATTTGAAACAGGACAAAAGAAATTGGAAAAAAGGAAGAAATTCAAAGAGAATGATGCATCTAATATTGATGGCTTCCTGGGACCATGGGCAAAATATGTGGATGAGAAAGAAGTAGCCAAACCTTCAGAAGTGAGCATTTTTAAGCATATTGGCTAGGAATTGTATGCCACTGTGTTGTGAATGATGGCAGCAACCTAGGTATGCAAGAAATCTTGTGATTGCACCTGCATAGGCCAGTGGAGATCAAATGCACTGTAGCAGGGATATACTTGAATATGGTGATTTAGGTGCTCTGTTTGAAAATTTGGACAATGGCTTTAGAAGAGATTTTTGTATTTTACTTTGTCAGCTTGAGGGTAGCTCGTGTATGATAACAGAAGCAGCTAGGTAAAAAGAATGCTCTTTAGTGGGGGGCGGGGAGGCAACGCTCATTTTTTGTAAATCATTGACACTTAGACTTGTCTACACAGACAGAGCCACAGTAGCATAGCTGCACAGCATCTGCTGAAGATGTGTAACTTACGTCACTCAGGGAAGTGGCTTATTCACACCCCTGAGTGACATAAATTATACTGACATAAGCTATAGGGTAGACAGGTGCTTAGCTGTAGCCTATAAGTGTGTTTAGAATTAATTGTTTCTAGAGCAGGGGCGGGCAGGAGGCAGCTAGTGGCTCAGATCTGTCCAAACAAGCTAGTGGATCTGGTCCGCAACCACCTCACCGGCATCCTTACTAGGGGCATCCACTTTAAACAGCAGGCTACTAGTTGCTGTGCAGTCTGGGCAGGGAGGACAAAGTTTTGTGTGCTGTCCCTACCCCCTAGCAAAATCCCCCAGCTCCCATTGACCAGTTTCCAACAAATAGGAGCTAAGAAATTTTGCTGAAGGCAGAGTTAGCCTCCTCCCTTCATCCCTCCCTCCCTCTCTGTGCTGGAGCAGAGCCACGTGAAGTAGCCCATCCAGCACACAGGCAGGGAGTCTACAGAGCTGATAGCTGGGTGCCACCTAGGTAAATGCCTCCCAGCCAGAGCTTGCCTCTGGGACCCCACTTCCTTTCCCCCCTTCCAATTCCATGCTCAGGGTCCCAGCCTACCCCTCTGTATCCCCTTTCCCCCACCTCCTCCAGGTCTCAACTCCTTCCCAGACCCTGCACCCCCTTCTGCACCCCTCCCCCAGGCCACAATCCTCTCCTGCACACATTCCCCTCCCAGACCCTGCACCCCATTCCCCTGCCCCAGATTACCACCCAAACCATCTGCATTCCCTTCCCCTCCTTCTCCCATGTCACAACTCCCTCCCAGACCCTTCACCCCCTCCTATACCTCTTCCCCCAGGCCAGAATCCTTTCCTGCACCCATAACCCCTCATGGACCCTGCACCGCAAGTCCTTGCCTTAGATCATAACCCTCATTCGTCCTCCAAACTCCTTCTCAGATCCCACACTCCCTTCTGCAGCCCAGTTCTCTATTCCAAGCTCCCTTCTATACCTCACCCACCATCCCAGACCCTGCACCCACTCCACAAAAGTGCAACCTTTGACTACTTACCAAAATCTTGGAGGTCCCCCCCCCCATTAAAAATTATTCGCACCCCTGTTCTACAGTTTATAAATCTTTTTGGGATGCTCTGGCTTTGGTTAAAATGTTACTGTTTTTAATTGGCTTTTTTCCCCATGTGGAAAATATTTCTAATATTCACATTAAATAAGTACATTAATTCTGGTAAATTAAATAATGTTTCAGTTTTGGCTTTTTGGCTTCAGCTTGGTAACTTTTAATATGGTCTTGCCTTTTTTGTATTTCTAGGAAGAGCAGAAAGAGTTGGATGAAATAACAGCGAAAAGGCAGAAGAAAGGCAGGCATGAAGATGATAAACCAGGAGAGGAGAAAACTATCTTACATGGTACTGCCATTTTAGACTGTAGTTTTTGTTTTGTTTTTTTAATGGTTTTGCCTGGTCTGTACAATTTTAACCCACATTTGCAGAAACCAGCCTTCATTTCTGCTACATTCATGATCAAGGATAATATCATATGATTTCATGTTAGCTATACCACTGATTCACTCTGGTAGCTATACAATGTGAATCCCATTAGTTCTAATATAGAACTATAAAAGGAGTTATATTCTCCCTCAGGCTGTCTCTACACTACAAACTTTTGAAGAGGTGTGATCTCTGACCAACATACTTGTGCTAATAAAAGTTCCTAGTGTGGATGCAGATGTACCAGGAAAATGACATTTTTACAGGTATAGCCTATTTCTCTCACAGGGAGACAGTTTTACCAGTAGCAAGCGGAGTTGTGGTAGTCTATCTGCATCCACACTAAAGCCTCGTCTGTACAGATGAAGAATATCTAGTATAGACAAAGCCTAAAATAGAGGAACTAGGAATAGGGAGAGAGCGAGGCCCTGCAGGGTCCAGCCATATAACAAAGCTCAACTGAAATGTTTTTAAATTAACAGAAAAGGGAAACCTCAGTAAGGAGTAACTTTGGACTAGGGCCAATTGGTATTGCTAAGAATAGTGTGGCAATGTCATCTGTCTGTATGTTGATTTCAAAACCTCTGGCAGTCACCTTCAAATTGTCATTCACTATTTTACAAAATGAAATCTTAAAGAGTTTTGGGTTCTGCCCAATTGCAGATCTACTACCTAAAAAATCAATTGATGTAAATTCAATCTTGCACCTTGATCTGTGCAGGTAATACTTTGACGAACAGTACATGCTATAACAGATTAATATATTAAACATTAGTTGCTTAAATTTTGTGCTTAGTCTATTTTATCTCAGTTTTCTTGCTGTCATGTTGTAAGTAATTGTGTATCCAAGTAGAATTACTGTACATTGACAGCTTGCAACTTTACATAAAAATAATTACTTAGGGGTGGATCCCAAAGCCCTAAGTGGGTGAAATACCCAATAATTTCAATGACAGTTTTGCATGGACAGGGTCTTTATTAATAAAACTAAAGAGAATAACTTGTAAACTAGAAGTCTTCCTTTATTAGTGCTGATTACTACCAACAAGAAAATACATAATTGGAAATTCTTTTCTCATAGATATATAATAGGAAAAGAAAGAGCTGTATCACTTGCATTCATGACTTACTGTATTTGTCACGACCCTGGTATGTCAGTTGCATAATACTTAACTCAACAAAGTGAAGAATACAGAACAAATAGACCTGATATTTTATATCTAGTGATTTTTTTCCCCAAGGAAGGTTCAGCCGGGAATAAATGTTAGAACTGCTTGTTCTGTACTTTTCAGCTGTAAATGTTAGATTTCTGAAAAAACAAGCTTATCGCCAATAAGTCATCAGTGCTTCTGTTCTCTAGCTAAGTATCTCTTAAATTATTGATAACTTATTCCCATGCAAAAAGACTTTATCTGGAATTTAAGGTAGAATGAATCTAAAAAGTCAGATATAATACTTTTAAGGAACACTTTATTGTTCTCAAAACACACACTTCATAGAAATTTCACATTAGGGTTTCATTTTGTTAAATTATCTAAGGCATTCAATAATATGCAAGTACAAACAATGTAATGCTACCTGAAATTCTGCCATGAGGCAGTCTAGAAGGTAAGGCATACTTATCCTTCTAATCACACAGGTTCATCTCTCTGGTAGCTAATGTCAAAGTGCCAGGTACACTCTGAAACAGCACTACTTAAATAGAATAGTGATAGAGATGTAGCCGTGTTAGTCTGGTGTAGCTGAAACAAAATACAGGACTATGTAGCACTTTAAAGACTAACAAGATGGTTTATTAGATGATGAGCTTTCGTGGGCCAGACCCACTTCCTCAGATCAAATAATGGAATACTTAAATAGGGTAGCTTCTTATTTAGATGATTTGCTCCCTCTGTGTTTTCAGTCATAGCTGGTTGGTGGTGGTGATGGTGATAGCGGGGCGTGAACTAGCTTTACTGCTGTTAAGTGGGCTGACCAGAAGTTCAGGGGAGGGGACAGATTAGATCTTTATCTAATTCATGAATAGTTCTGTTGATGCATTATATTCAATTCACAGGTATAGTTGCAAATATAAATTGCTCTGAAGTTGCCATCAGTTACTTCTGTGCAGCCCCACTAAAGGCATTAGGTCTGACTTTAGCTTCTGTTGAAACACTTAGAAACAATTCCATTGATTTAAAAAATATTGGCTTGAGCCCTAAGTTAGTCTTGTTTAGTCTGTGGAACTTTTCTTAGGTTTGGTGATAATAAGCCATGGCAAATAAATGGAATGTTCAGAACCCAAGCAGAGTTTCCAGGACCAGCAATTAGAGAAACTCAACTTCTTATTTGTAAACTGGGCACATTTAATATCAAATGACTAAGACACACTACAAGTAGAAATCCAAACAGCAATTTTTGGTCACTCACAGAACGGGACTGCTAATTTTTAAGCTTAATTGGGTGTTATGGTTGGGTCTTCTCAAATCTGTAACCTTAAAAAATACAGGTTCACTGCAATTCACAGTACTTTGGGGTTTTGTTTTGTTTTTAGTCAAAGAAATGTATGACTACCAAGGAAGATCCTATCTTCATGTTCCTCAAGATGTTGGAGTTAACCTCCGTTCTACAGTGCCTCCTGAGAAATGCTATCTCCCAAAGAAGCAACTCCATGTATGGTCAGGACATACAAAGGTAGGAAATATTGTTTGTTTTGCAGTTGAGGTTTTTCTTTTTTCATAGTGTAAATTTGACTTTCTGGCTAAGTAGCATTTGAGATTCTTGTTTATAAAACAATGGACCAAGACTAATTCAAGACACATTTTCCAGGTTTCTAAAACTATGCATAAACAAATTAGGTATTTGCATACACAAATGTATATTCATTCATTTACCAGTTCCCAGACACAATTTTGCAGGTTCTGCATATATGTAGTGTAATTCTGGTTCCTGCGAGGTCAGTAGCAAAACTCCCACTGGCTTCAGGGGACTAGGATTTCACCCAAAGACTAGTTCATGAACAAATTAGGTTTAGTTCTGGAGGATTGTGAAAACGTTGCCCTTATTGTAAAAAAACTTTGTAACATAATAATTCCTTATCAAAAACAGTTTCATAGTATTAACATTACAATTACAATTTTTCCTACAGTGTAGTTGTGGTTTTCCGACAGTGTAGTTGATTACAGATTCTCACGCAGAAATCTTCCTTCACTGACAGTACGTCTGCATTACCGCTTACATTGGTATAACTTATGTCATCCAGGGATGTGAATAAGCTTCCCCCTTGAGTGACAAAAAATAAGATGACCTAAGCACGGATGAGGAAAGTGTGGGGAGTTTCTGAAAGAGAGAAGGTATCATCCAGGGAGCTTCTTGGGAGCAAGGCAGAGAGCCTTTAGTGTGTGCATTAAGCTCAGCCTGCAGAAGCTATAACGTGTACAACCCCCTAGTTATTTACACTTTAGGTATGATTGAATAAAGTCAGTGGGACATTAAATATCAATAACAGAAGGATTTCTCTACTTTGCCAGTAACTTGTAGGGATAGAGTCTTGGATTAAAGCCAGCTCACTTAGGCTCAGTCCAGATAAAGCTGAGATGAAGTTGGGAGAAGGAGGGGAAATATTTTAAAAAAGATTTAACTGCTCCTTGAATTCTAGTTTATTTTTACTACCATTGTAGTGGCTTAAAATTCTTACTAGACTATTCTCCATGCACCCAAATGAGTGGCCAACAATTCTTTAACCTCTGGCCGGCCAGGATAATGCACCTGCCCATCTGTTCTAGATACAGCTTTTGTTCTAGTTAAAATGATTTTATAACTGAATGGTTGAATTGCTGTAGTGCCTAGTTTAGAGCTAGCCTGGTAGACCATTTTGGTGGGTTCAGAAGTTGCAAACTGGATCTGCTTGCGTTTTAAGTAGAACAGATTGTGACTATGGCTCCCTGTCTGTGTTCTGACTAGGGATGTTAAATTTAGATTAATCAACCAATCGAATAGTCGGTGGAATTTGCATCAACTATTCGATTAGTTGATAAGGGTGCGTCCACCTTTCAAATGTAGCAAGAGCTCTGCCGGTTCTTGCTACACTTTAAAGGCAGAAGCGCTGTGGAGAGTATGGGGCCAGCAGAGGACTCAAGCCCCTCCCCTCCGGGGGGGCTGTTGTACATTTCAAAAGAGAGCGTGCAGGAGCATGGGGCCAGAAAGGGTTGCTGGACCACGGGACTCCTGTTCATTTTAAAAGCAAGGAACATGCTTGCCCCGTGTTCCCCACAGTGCTTCTGCTTTTGAAATGCTGAGCTCTTGCTATATAAGGCAGAAGCACCACTAGTTCCCTGCTGTGTCCCTGCCACCTCCGTCTCCAGCAGACCAGGGACACCGCGAGCAAAGCCGCAGCCGCGTCCCACGCTTCTGAGGCTTTGCCAGAGCAAAGTCTCAGAAGCGCGGGACCCCGCCACTGCTGCGGCTTTGCTACCGGTGCCCCTGGTCTGCTTGGGACCGTCTCCAGCAGACCAGGGACACCGGGAGCAAAGCTGGGGAGGCGGAGGGGCGCTGGGGCGCTGCCGGTTGGCCTCTTAAGGGGGAGTAGTCTTATACGGCGAGTATAAGACGAAAACCTATCTTTTAGCTAGAAAATTAGGGGGTCTTCTTATACGCCCAGTCGCCTTATACGCCGGAAAATACGGTAGTCTCCTCACCTCAAAAAAGATATTTTGGCTTTGGAAAGGGTTTAGAAAAGGGCAACTAAAATGATTAGGGGTTTGGAACGGGTCCCATATGAGGAGAGGTTAAAGCAACTGGGACTTTTCAGTTTAGAAAAGAGGAGACTGAGGGGGGATATGATAGAGGTCTATAAAATCATGAGTGGTGTGGAGAGGGCAGATAAAGAAAAGTTATTTATCAGTTCCTGTAATAGAAGAACTAGAGGACACCAAATGAAATTAATGGGTAGCAGGTTTAAAACTAATAAAGGAAAGTTCTTCTTCACACAGCGTGTAATCAACCTGTGGAACTCCTTGCCAGAGGAGGCTGTGAAGGCTAGGACTATAACAGAGTTTAAAGAGAATCTAGATAATTTCATGGAGGTTAGGTCCATAAAAGGCTATTAGCTAGGGGATAGAAATGGTGTCCCTGGCCTCTGTCAGAGGCTGGAGAAGGATGGCAGAAGACAAATCGCTTGATCACGCAGAGGGAGATATTTGGGGTTGTGCTTCAAAGAGAGATAAGCACATGAGCTGTGCCTTTCTGCTGAAAGAGGAGCAGTGAAATCTTGACATAACAATTTTAACCTTTACTGCCCCATTGAGATTATTTGGGTGGTTCTGCCTCCTTTTTGGAGCTGTTGTGTCCGCCTTTTTGCACGATCCTGAACTTGAGAAATCTTGGTTGAAAATCCTAGCCCTATGGAAGTTATTGCCAGAACTCTCTTTGACATCAGTGGGACTAGGATTTTCATTCGTTATGGGACTTTCCATGCATCAGACTTTCCATTTAGTAGCAGTAGCAGGAGAGCTGATATAGACCAACTGCAAAAGTTCTTATCACCAAGTCTGCCAATCCTGTTTACCTCCAACTACCTTCACTAAAAATGGCTGCATTCTGTCTACATTAGCACTTCCACCATTACTCCTTGTAGTGCTGTACTACTAGAATCCTATTCAGTGATTTGTCTGTTTGGATTTTTTTTGAGGAAATCTTTTCACGCCACTGGGTGCTATGCACTTTTTTCCACTGTACCTCTTAAAATCCCCCGCAGATCTTTAATAACATTGAATAGCCCTAATAAACCCATCATTTCTTGAGTATCTCCATATATTGTATGTACTCGGAGTGCAGCTGTTACTTACACATCTAAAAAGTGAACACACTTGAAAACAGGCCCACTGAAAGGGAGGCAAACAGGGCAATTGCCCTGGGGCCCAGTGAGTCTAAGAGGCCTGGGGTGCCCAGCTGCCAGCTCTGCTGCTATGGCATTGGCCAGAGTCTTGGCTCCCTTTGAGTTACCACCGGGATGCCATTCTGTGCATCTCAGAGAACTGGCGGGGGGGGAACCACATGCTGCAGTCCAGGCAGTGCTGAGGGCTGGCAGCCCTGCCCCGTCTGGGGGCACGGAGCCGCTCACACTCATACATCCCTTGCCCTGGGGCCCGTAGTGCCTGTTAGCCTTGCTGCTTGAAAACTATCAGAATTGGTGTCTCCTTCACTTACTTCTCCCATTCTGAGTTCAAGATTTAGTTTGCTTGAGGTAGTGATGTTTCAGGCTTCAAATGCAGTGCAGCATTTTTATGATCCCCCTTGCTCTGTTTAGGTGTCTGTAATGGAATAAGCTGTTTGTAGGAAACCAGCACTCTGATTTCAGAATGCTGAAGTAAATGATGTTAACATTTTCAGATAGACAATCTTTTGTGTGGGTGTTTTTTTTCCACATACATATCTGTTGGTTTTATAGCAACCTCTTTAAAAAGCAGCATGGCAGACCACTGGGATTGCTCACCTAAGTAAAGTTTCAAATAATCTTTAGTGTTTGCAAGGTCAGGGCCTGTGTAGTTGAATTTCTTGTCATGCAAGAGATCTGAATTCAAAATGACCCCAGGGAACTATTTAGAGAAGCACCTGTTACTCGTCCCAGGATTGTAATATGAAGAGGAGTGTAATCACGATTGTGCAGAACTGGGTGTATTATGAAGAGGTCAGACAGGCAGGGCGGAGAGCTCTGTGTTGTTCTTTTGTCAAAGCTAACGTTCCAAACCCACAATTTGTATTTCTTTGCCAACGGCTGCCATGGTAATGGGGTGGGTGGGTGTCAGTGTGGGTGGGGAAGGGGGCGTATACAACTGTTGCAGTAACTCTGGATTGCCCCCTGGTGATTCAGCAGTAGCAATTGTTCAACATGCACTGCTGTGTTAAAAGAAGCATTTCTGATAATGCTGTGTGCTAGGGTGTGATCTAAACGTTTCCTAAAAAAGGGGAATTGAACTAGGAAAAATATTCACGTGCTCAATTTGCTGTTTCTTAATTATTTATGTTCTTATTTACAGGGTGTCAGTGCAGTCAGGTTGTTTCCACTCTCTGGCCACATGTTGCTGTCCTGCTCTATGGACTGTAAAATTAAAGTGAGTTGTTTCTGATGTACCTTAGCTTCATACAAATGTTGCTTTCACAGCATTTAATTACTGTGTCTAATTTCTGTTAGAACACCTCCTTTTCCAGGGTTTGAGTCTTGTGTTTTAAACTTGCATCAGGCTACAAATTGTCAAATAAATAGTCATCCTACATTATTGTTTTTCTCCCAGAAATGATTTGATTTCGTTTCTTAGTTCTGCATAGAAATAAATAGCTAAGTTGGCAATCACAGCCATATATACCCCTTCAAATGTAAAAATAAGTAATGCAGAAACTATTTTAATGCAATGTAAAGATCACAAATAAAATAAAATCAGGAATTGCAAAAAGGAAGGTTTTAGCAACATCTTGGGTCTGTGTGTGTTAAATAGATACCTATCACCATCCTGCCCATCTTGCATGTGCTGCATTTTGCATTCATCTTCCTCATTTCTTATCTGCTTTTCCATTTAGATTGGAAGCCTTGGGGGGGCAAACACTTTGGTTTCCTGTGTGTATTGTAAGATACCTAAAACAATTTGGTGTTACCACAGTAAAGTACTTAATAGCATTTAAATGATGATACAGTTAGGTTGTGAAAATTATAAATCCATAGGCTTACCTTTGCTGCTATCATCATTTGGTAGAAGACATTTTTATGTAAAGCTAAATTTTATAGCAGGATGAAATGTTGAAAACAAAACATCTTTTTGCTGAAAATTTCCTGCTTTGAGTTTATGAAACTGGATCATGTAATTTTTTTATTGCAGACTGAGATTTCATTTTGCATACTGTTGAGATGGTTGCAGAAATTCTGTGGCAAATGTTCACATTATTTCTGAATTTCAAGATAGATTAGCTGTGAGTTGTCACAATTCTCACATAGTTTCATGTACAGCTGTAGTTAAACTTATTAAGAATGTGATGCAGAAATTAACATTTCTGTCTTTTTGGTTTGTTTTGCTAGCTATGGGAAGTATACGGTGAACGAAGATGCTTACGAACATTTATTGGTAACCTCTCTTTTTTACTGAACTCTTCAATATACTTTAAAACCACTTCCTCCCTGCCCCCATCCCCCAAAAAAGTAGATTTAATTACTTTGTGATTTGAGGGACAGGGTGTCAGTGCTACAAACAACATGTAGGCATCTGAGAAAAATGTCAACTGTTCAATGTGGTGTTGGCACAACAGCTGAAGGGCTCCATTTGTGCATTTAACTAGGTCTTATCTTCTGGGCTAGACTAGAACTGAATTTCAAATGCAAAAGGAACAGAGAAAAATTCACAGACTGTCCAAGCCTCCTTTTAAATATAAAAATGGAACAAGTCCAATTTTTTCCTTGTAACTGAGAACTTTTGGAGAGGGTAGAGCAAGATAAATGTGAGAGAGTTTTTGCTGCAACTTACAAGCATCAGCTTTTCTTTTGAAGTGGAAACACTTCTAGAGTGATGTACCATCATTTGAAGTGCCTTTTTATCGATGTTCCTAGCACCCAAGGCACCAAGGAAGTTGACTAAACCGATGCCTCAGAAAAAGATCTCTCTGAAGAGAGTCTTCTCTTTGAGCTGTAATATCAGAACTTTCCTGTCAGGAGTCAGATTCACCTACTGTATTTATTTTAAAATTGTATGCAAGCTAAATTATAGAGCCCCTTTAAGTCGGCTAGTGGCCATCCAGAATTAATCTGCAAGGTAGGATAGATGAGTCTACCTGAGCAACACATCCTTATACCTTCCTGACCTAAATATTTCCCATATTCCACAGGGGATTTAATTTAACCATGCCAAAATTATTTACCCACAAAGGGTACGTCTAAACTACATGGCTCCATCAATGGAGCCATATAGATTAGGCTGATCGGCAGAGGGAAATGAAGCCGCGATTTAAATAATTGCAGCTTCATTTAAATTTAAATGGCTGCCACTCTGAGCCAACAAACAGCTGATCAGCTGTCTGTTGGCTCAGCGCGCTAGTCTGGACGCTCCCCTGTTGACATGAAAGTCCTTTATTGACCTCCTCGGTCAACCTCATCCTACGAGGCATAACGGGGAGGTCGATAAAGGGCTTTCAGGTTGGCGCGGGAGCGTCCAGACTAGTGCGCTGAGCCAACAAACAGTTGATTAGCTGTTTGTCGGCTCAGCGCGGCAACCATTTAAATTTAAATGAAGCCGCAGTTATTTAAATCGCGGCTTCATTTCCCTCTGCCGATCAGCCTAATCTATATGGCTCCATTGATGGAGCCATGTAGTTTAGACACACCCTAAATGTTTAACCCATTAGTCAGGCCACCATGTTGCAGCGTGGGTGAGGGGGCCACTAGAGCAGCCCTTTGCCTGTGGTGCGCCAGGCCAGGTGCCAGTTAATCAGTTACCCTGGTAAGCATGTCGGGAAGGCAACACTTACCAGGTAACTGGTTACCCCTTTACATCCCTAATCTTCATAGAATTCTTCTATAGTGTTTGGTCCTTGATTCTCCATTACTCTTTTGTCTTCGGTGTTTACGTTTGCGATATGTTTGACATGCAGTGCATTGTTGCTCTATATCCAGGGCAATGTTTGAAGCAATAGTGGACTTTGATGTGGTATTTACGTGTTATCTTTGTAATTCAGTAAATGTTATTTCAGTGCAGTGTAAAGATCAACTGCATCACATCTTAAGATGTGTAGAATATGGAGATAAAACAAATATTTTAATTTATATTGCTTTTTTGACGGGGGACTAACTTTTTAAATGAATGTCAACAAAATTAGTCAGCTAAATTTTCTATTACTGTCCTGTACTTTATCCCATCCTTATATGGTTTAGATCACTAGGCTAGGTAAGTGTTTGCACTTATTCTAAAAAGACAAAAACAAAGCCCTACAGTCAGTTCAGTTCCAAAGTATCTTCTATTTGTCTGTGTCTGCACTAGGCCAGTGGTTCTCTCTCACTGTGGATTGAGATCCCATTTTAATGTGATCCCCAGGGCTGATTTAGACTTGCTGGGGCCCAAGGCTGAAGCCTGAGGCCCATTGCTTAGGGGCGAAGCAGAAAACCCAGGACTAGGGAAGTAAGCAACTAAGGATAGTTGAGTAGTGACTCGACTAGTCACTTTCCCCCATGCTGCCTCTATCAGAGAGAGGCAGCAAGGGAGGGGAGCAGGAGCTGGTGCTAGGAGGAGCCAGCTTAAAAGCCGGTTCCTCCCAGCACTGTCTCCACGGGGGGCAGGAAAGACACAGACACAGGCACAGTAGGGAAACAGCACGAGCAGAGACTGAAGCCGTCCCTGCTCATGCTGGGTTCCAACAGCTACACTTCTGGGGCTCTTGCTACATTTCAAAGGCTGAAGCACCGCAGTCGGAACACGCTTCCCCCGTGTTCCCTGCTGCTCTTCTGCCTTTTAAATGTAGGAAGAGCCATAGGCGGCTCTTCCTACATTTAAAAGGCAGAGGCACAGCTGAGATAGTGAGTGCCCCATCTCTCCCTTATTGACTAATCGAGTAGTCGATTGAAATTCCATTGACTACTCAATTAGCTGATTAATCAAAATGTAACCTTTCTACTCAGGACTTCCACCCTTGGTGATGGGGCTTAGGTTACAAGCCCCCTAACCTGTGTGGGGCTGAAGCCTCTGGGGCGTACACTGCCTCTCCTCTCATCCCCCACAGGACAGCAGGGCTCAGGGGCTTTCCTCCCTCTGGGGCCATGTAAGAAATGTTGTTGTCACAAGGGGTTTGCAGTGTAATGAAGTTTAAGAACCCCTGCACTAGACTGCCTCCTGTAAGTTTTAGAATTTTCCAATATCATAGTCAGTCTGTTTGCAGATATAATTCTCAATGGCTTAATTTTTAACAGCCTTACAACCTCTGGGAGGTGCTATTTCCAGTTGAATTGGTCTGCTGGAAATAAATTTTACAAGATATTCTTAGATGAGTTCTAGTAAATGGTTTTCTGTGTTGCCCAGACAGTATAATTAAAAGCTGTAATTGACCATTTAGTATTGTAGTTTATCTATATTCTATGTGTGGTAATGTTCTCCAGAATATCCTAATTCCTAGCATCAGGAATAAAGAGTTAACTCTTCACTCTACCACACTTCTGTTTTTATCTTATAGGGCACAGTAAAGCAGTTCGAGACATCTGCTTTAACAATGCTGGAACTCAGTTTCTTAGTGCAGCATATGACCGGTATCTTAAACTCTGGGACACTGAAACGGGTAGGCTTAAATATATACATGTTCAAGTCTGTTAATCATTGTAACTAGTAGTAAATAGCTACTGTTGTAATAACCAAGCTATCTCCTATTATTATATGATTTTATAGAGTAACACTGCTGTTTCAAATACAGGAAGAACTTTTTTTTTTTTTTTTTATCATTGTAACTAGTAGTAAATAGCTACTGTTGTAATAACCAAGCTATCTCCTATTATTATATGATTTTATAGAGTAACACTGCTGTTTCAAATACAGGAAGAACTTTTTTTTTTTTTTTTTGTCTCCTGAATGTTTTTGTTGTTACCGTATATTCCGGCGTACAAGACGACCTCTGATGTTAAAAAACATCCCCCAAAAATCGGGGGTCGTCTTGTACGCCGGATGCACATGATCCATTCTCCTGGTTGGTACCCATTTGTTGACCTTTTGGGTTCGCATATTCATACTAATTGCATTAGGAATAGGCTGTAAATTCCCTTCCCTTTTCTCTCCCCTGGCCACCTCTTTTACAGGCTTTTCTTCAGCCAGACATTATACACAAGACACTTCCAATGGCTATTCATTCACTCAAATCCAGTGACAGCTTTATTTAATGCAAAGCTTGTTAACAAGTTGAATGGCGGACAGTTTAATGTAATGCAGATCTGATTAGGAAGCAGCCACCAGACTGCTAAGGAGTTGGAGATTTCACTTTCTCACATAACACCACCATGCAAGTACTAACCTAGATTAAATACTGAATGAGGAATCTGTTGTTTACATTACTGGTCATTTTCAAGAACACAGCCATACACAAATAAATGTTTGTCTTTTTATGCTTTTAATTCACAGTCTACTGTAATAATAAAAACCCACGCTAGTAAAGCAAAAAACCCACTTTGCTGCCCAAGACCACCGTGAAATTGTAGGTTACATTAGCTACTGTTTGACAGTCATATCTTTGGGGGAGTGCAGAATTGACATCTGGTGATGACTAAATTCAGTCTTGATTCTTTTAAATAAAAATGTCTGTTTTTCTTTTTGCTAAATCACTACACGCTTTAAATTTAAATTCTCAGTTACAATAAGTGTGTGATCAGTGATGCACAGACTTCTGTGGACTTCAACCGGTATTGTGCATATGTAAGAGCCCAAGTTTAATGAATATGTTACATGTGATTTATTTTTACTTACATCCACTGAAATAAATATTAAAAATACTAGCACATACTCCACAAGCTTACATGAATGTGACACTAATGTAAAGAAATTATTACAACAATTCACTCATTATCAAATCAAGATTTTTTTTAAAGCCCCCTTTTAAATTTTTATTTCGCTTTCTCTAAATTAGACACAGTGGTCTTACTCTAAAGGCAGAAATAGTTTGGCAGAATAGAATTTATTAATGGTTTCCTTCAAACAAGAGACAAGTGTGGGCTTCCAAGAATGCTAATTTCGATCAATCAAAATCAACTCTGTACCCGAAAAAGGTGACTTTCCAATTAATGTAAGAACACAAACATCACTGAGGTCTGACAGAACACAACGTTGCTTGGCCATATAGCTCATGCCCCAAACTCAAGATAATCATAATTCCACATAATTATATGCACCATACAAAGCTTGCCTAGGCACCTGGGATGAATTTCACTTTCAGTGTCTGCAAGCTTATAAATTCCTCTCTCCCTGATGTATGCTGGAAATTCCCATCTTCGAAGCCCAAGTCCAATTTATATTTATCTGCAAAAGTGCACTGTTAAAGGATTACAAAAAGGCTTATGAACCTCTGGTGGTTAATTGATATGGGCTTCTATCCTTAATCCCTACAGCCCCTTGAAAACCATTGTTTCTTTCAATTTCACCCAGTGGTTTAATATGTTCCCGGACATCCACAATACTAGTTAAATATACTTTTTTCCATATTCAGCAGGTCTATTCTCCCGTGTGCCTGTGACCTACAAAAGTACCTGCTCTTAATATTTGCCTGCTTGTACGTACTGGGGACCATCTCCAGCAGACCAGGGACACCGGGAGCAAAGGAGGCGGAGGGGCGCTGGGGTATAAGATGAAACCCTATCTTTTAATTAAAAAGATAGGGGGTCGTCTTATACACCCAGTCGCCCTTGCTCCCGGTGCCTCTGGTCTGCTGGGGACCATCTCCAGCAGACCAGGGACACCGGGAGCAAAGGAGGCGGAGGGGCGCTGGGGTATAAGATGAAACCCTATCTTTTAATTAAAAAGATAGGGGGTCGTCTTATACACCCAGTCGCCCTATACGCCGGAAAATACGGTACTGTAAAGTTTTAATTAAGGTTGACTTAGTGTTTATGTTAAAAATCCATGATAACAAGGGTTCATGTAACCCCCACAGCTTCTGGGTGTGATGTACTGTCCTACCTAGTGGCACTGAGACCACTTACAGAGAGAATGAGTCTGCTCTACAGTTTCAGCTAATAGCCTGCTGGCTTTTAGCACAAGCAGTAGAACAGGGGTAGACAATAATTTTGATGAGGGCCACTCCAAAAATTTGGGAAGTGGTCAAAGGCTGCTGTCTTCCATGATGTTAATGGAGGAGGTGTGGGGTCTTCTGTGGGCAGAACTGAACCCGGGACAGCCCATAACACGAATATGCAGATGAAACACGGGATATTTAAATCTCAGCTTCATTTGCAATTTGAAAGAGGGTGCAAGTGTAGACATACCGTAAGAGGGAAAGTAGTAGATTTTTAATGTTCCTTGGGGCTGTCATTCCACAGTCCTGGGCTGACCCTACAGAGAAAGTTCTATCGTCCTCACAAATAAGTTTTTGCTCTTATTATAGAGTGTACTATTGTGCCAGAGGAGTAGAGCTATCAACCACAGTCTTCATCCTGAAGCTTTAGTTGTCTTTTTTACATAACTTGCATCCATTGAGAGCTCTGAAAACTTGAATTGGATTCAGTAGTCTGTGGGAAGCCAGTGTAGACAGGCTTGGGGTATTCACAGTAGCCTGTGTTGCTGAGAAGATGTGCTTCCTTCAGCATTCTCTGCTGGTTGGAATTTCCTAAGCCCTGACAGCTTCATGCCCAGAGTAGCCTATTTCTGTAGTCCATTCAAGAAGTGATGAAGGTAAGAGGCCAAATCATCCCTTGCTTGGATGGAATGGAGTCTCCTAACCAACAAGAGATGAAAACACATTACTCAAAATGCAGCTGTTTGAGTAGTTACCATCAGTGAGGAATCCAAGAGTGCTCCTTAATTATGAACTCAATTGACCAATTGTGTATATGTACCTTCAACCAAAAGAAAATATACTCTGAGTCTTTCAGAGAATTGAAAGCCTATGTTTTTGTTTTCTCCTGATCTAAACTAAATAAAACATCTCTAGATACAAGGATGGTTTTACTTGATGGTAGCTTATTATGGTGAGCATTTATAAAACTATGCATGTGAAACTTTTGAACTGATCTAATTTGAATGGCCTGACTGTTTACAGGGCAATGTGTTTCAAGGTTCACAAACAGGAAGGTTCCCTATTGTGTCAAATTCAATCCTGATGAAGATAAACAAAATCTTTTTGTGGCAGGAATGTCGGATAAAAAAATTGTACAGGTAAGACTCAACTCACTGAAATGTTTCCTAATCTCATAGTTTTATAAAACAAAGATTTTTTCACTTTAAGTTTAAATGTACTTGTCGTGTCTATTACAAAACCATACAAATCTTCTTTCCTTTCTTAACGGTATTTTTGAATGAACACTCTCTTAAAGGTTTTTGCTGGAGCACTTGCTCTTCAACCTGAAAGTCTTACTAAATATCAGAAATGTTATAGCTTCAAGTTCAGGAATGAATTAAAACTTAAGTGGCTCTTACTCTGGCTGTTTAATTTGCAGTGGGACGTTCGAAGTGGGGAGATTGTGCAGGAGTACGATAGGCATTTGGGAGCTGTCAACACTATTGTGTTTGTGGATGAGAATAGACGGTTTGTGAGTACATCTGATGACAAGAGCTTAAGAGTCTGGGAATGGTAAGTTTAAAACCCCCCACAACAGTGGTCCCCAACGTGCCCTTACTCTGGCTGTTTAATTTGCAGTGGGACGTTCGAAGTGGGGAGATTGTGCAGGAGTACGATAGGCATTTGGGAGCTGTCAACACTATTGTGTTTGTGGATGAGAATAGACGGTTTGTGAGTACATCTGATGACAAGAGCTTAAGAGTCTGGGAATGGTAAGTTTAAAACCCCCCACAACAGTGGTCCCCAACGTGCCCGCGGGTGCCATGGCGCCCGCCGGGGCATTTGTGCATGCCCGGGGCGGCCTCGTCCCTGGGCGCAAGGTGCTCGGGCGGCCCCAGCCCTGGGGCACATGCCAGTGCCAGCGCCGGGTGCAAGGGCATCCCCGTCCCCTGGCATGCCTTCGGACGTATGGCCCCGCCCTCCGGCTCATGACTGGCCCCACCCCCCAGGCGCCCGGCACGTGAGTGGCCTCACCCCCGGGCGCCCGGGAGCCTCTAAGGGTTGGGGACCACTGCCCCACAAACTTTGATTTCACGTTAGCACAGAGCAAACTGGGAAATAGTTAACAATTTTTAAGTCAAATCAATGAAGTAACTTGGCAGTTTGGGTACAGTAACTTCTAGCTAGCCAAACAAAAAGTTAAAATCAGTGATGTTCCTACAGCCAGTTTCTATTCTATTTTACGGTGCTGTTGACCAATCATACACATGCTACACCAAATTCATTTGCTGAAGGCTGCTTTTTAAAACCTGTAATATTTCATTAACTCCATCAACAAGCAAAGCAGCGAATGTCACAGTTTACAAAGGACTTCATTGCTATGAATGTTCTTGAGCATCAGGTCACATTTATTCATTATACTAACCCCGACTTAAATAAGATATTTGATTTTTATCCAAACCAAACAATCTAACTTGGCACCTGCAGTAATATAAAAATTGTTGCTAGAATTTTTACTAGGCTAGTTAGTCTTACCGGATGCTTTTTAAATTATGTGCTTCCTACTCTAGAATAACATAGGTGAACACCAACGAAATTATTTTAACTTTACTATCAAGTAAAAGTGGTGCCATGAGCAGTGTTACGTGGAAACAGTGAACACAGCCGTATCATCTTGTGGCAGACAACATTCCGTTACTGGTTTCTCACACCTCCTGTGGTAATAAAAGAAGAATCAACATTAAATTACCTCCCTAAACCAGGACTCTCTGATACAGCAGTATCCGTGGTTCTGTTGTTCTTGGACCAGAGAGCCTGGGGCGACCGGGAACCACGCGGCACAGGGGTTGGTTTCCAGCAAGCCCGGCCAGGGCCTACAGCACAGCCAGTTGGAGGCAGGGGGCCAGAAGCAGAGCCGGTGTGGGGAGGGATAGCAGGATGGGGGCTAGTGGCAGCGGCAAATTCCCTCATTCAGGACTGGTCAGGTCCCAGTGGTGCAGGAGATCCAATCTGTATAAAGAATTGCCTGTGCCATGCTGCTTCAGAGTACCCTAAAGATAACTAATAAATCAGCAATCTCAAACTCCCAGCCCACACGACCGTCCCAGCCAGAGCAATTGTGCAATCTGGGACTCTGGGGGGGGAGGGCAGAGAGCTTTCCGTTACTGGCTCCCAAACCCAACGCTTTCCTGTCATTGTCCTGCCCTCTCTCACCCCTCCCATGGCACTTCATTCCTCAGGTACACAGTTCTGGAGATTTCCTGGTGCCACACAGCAGCAATGATCACACCTCCCTACATCTCATGCTCCCTTGGGAGAAGTGGAGTGCGCTGGGCTGGCGCACTTGCTCCCCTGCACTCTGCTTCCCTGCTGCTCCTGTTGCCACAGGGAGTGTGGGGAGGCACAACCACTTCTGTCGTGCTGCACCAGGTCACCCGCCACCTCTCCTCCCCCCACGCACGCACACACATCAGTGATCCTCAGCCACATGATTAGTGGATGGAGTCCTATAGGAAGAGAGAGTATAGGGAAGAGGTGAGGTTTGGGAGCAGTTAGCATACAACCTTGCCCTCCCTGTCCCCCAGCCCTCCAGGAGTCCCAGGTCAGATTGCATTTCGTTCTAGCTGTTCAGTCCTCTGTTTTTTGGTGTTGCATTGAGAATCACAGTAAAAAACATTTAAAACAATTATAATGGCAGTATTGTGTATGAAATTCCACCCAAGAAAAGACCCATTTAGAAATGTTATATGAACTGCTCTTCAGTTCTAATGTGAATTGGGGGAGAGGTGTTCTGTTCTGTTACTGAAGCTTACAAAAAGCATTTGATGACTAAAGAAAATGATTAATTCTGGCTTTTTCATAGAATCCAGCAGGCTATCTTTAGGATCTACAGTAGTTCTACGTTACCCTTCATGTACAGAGGAATCTAGGTCACAGTAGTGCTCAACTGATGTCCATATTGTGCCATGCAGTTACTGCCTGCTTTACAAAAAAATGAAGGATATATTGAGCTTCATGTTAAGCTTGTGCTAGCTTTACTGCCACTTGCTGTTCCATGGAAGTCTCTGTTCAGTATTTGGGATTTGGCTCCCTAGCTAGCAGTTTAGGAACTATATGGAGGCAGTGCAGTTGGTCACAGGCGTGAAAAGAAGTGACCAGATCATTCTCTGGCTGACCCAGTGAGTGTTTTCCCTGGTTCGGAAGGAGCTGTGTCTGAAAGGACTGTCGGTTTGACAGAGTGCTGGTGCATTAAGGTCAAGCAGTTTCAGTGAACCCCAGTGAAGGAACAGGAAAAGCTTTTGGTTGTGATGGCTACTAACAGTTTCTTCTGTTTGGTTTGTGAATCTAAGTCTCTTGCACAGAATTTCTGCCTCCTTGGATCAGTTGTTCTTGTTTCTTGTGGTAATCCTGATAATGGATAAAATAAAAGAGCTACCAGGTGGAATGCCATCTTCTGTTTCCTTCTCCCTCCCACAGAGAATCTAGCTGCAGAACATCACAGCCCGATTGTCCCAAATGTAGAGCTCCTCAGATTATATTAGAAGTCATGGGAAAATATTGTTTCATTCAGACATTATGAACTGTAGAACAGATCATATTCCATAATTCAAATTTTGCTTAAACTGATTTATAAAGCTAATATAGAGCACTCTTCCCACTCTGCTCATTCATTGCTGTGGACTGTTATATACAGCATTTCATAGAAATATGCTTATCTGTCTGTCTGCAGACAAATTTCACAGATTTTGGACTTCAAATTAATTACATTGCATTAGAACTAAATGAACATGTTCTGCACCACAGCTTTTGGAACTTGAAGAATTTCATGTGACAAGTTGTCACCAATCCTGCTGTGAATAAATCCCTCTTTTCTGTTAGTTTTACAACAGTCATTGTATAAGACTCAGTTAATTGGTTATTTCACTTCTTGATATGTTTAAATGTATAGAAATATCTCTTCCTTTATATTAATAATAATAAGCCAGAAGATTTTGATTTTTAACTACCAGAAAAAGCTTTAAAAGTAAATATGACCTACATATGCACTTAAAAACTTTGTAATTAAATATATATTTTAATTGCTTTTGTAGTGTTCTGAACTGTCTGGAGGAATGTTTAGGATACTTTTTAATCAAACCTCTCTTGGCCAATGCTTGGAGTGATCTGACATGACGTGACATGGTTATTGAGGCCAGGTCTACACTGAAAGAGTAGGTCAAATTAAGATACACATCTCCAGCTACATAAATTTACGTAGCTGGAGTTGAAGTATTTAATTCAAGTTTCCCTGCCATCCCTGCAAAGGGAGGCAGCTGACTCCTTGCAGGGGCAGGAATAGCAGCTGCTGATGGGGTTGCCCTCGAGTTCTGTGTAGCAGGTCGATCTTCCCCAGAGTGAAGACATGGCCTGAATCTCCATTTCACAGATGTTAGGGCTGTGTACAGATTCTGCTTTCATGTTTACTGGATTGCAGTGTCCTTCCTTTGTGGAACTGCAGCAGTAAGAATATAGAATAATAACTGCTTTTCATATAACAAACTATATTTGCTCAGTGGAATCTTAATTGTGATGTTTCTATTTGTATTGAAGCCCTTTGATTTGTGAAAATGCAGAGGTTTATTCTCACTCCTGTTTATTTTCATGGTGCAACTTGGGGAACGGGAAAATGGCTGTGGGCTGATGATACTCAGCTCAAAATTTTCCTACCTCCAAGGTACTAGTGAACAAGTACCCCATAGTGGTATCTAATGCTGCTTTCATCCTCTTCTAGGATTGGTGCAGCTAATGGAATGAAATCATAGGCTTCTGCTGATGTCCTTGCAGCAATCTGTCTTTCTATAGTTTCCCAAGCTCTCATAAGGACGCTGAAGTCTTTTTAGGAGCTTTTATATTTCAGGGAGTACCAAACACTTTCCTTTTGCTTTTTCAAAATACCCTAACTTTTATTTCCTGTGGGTACCAAAAAAAGTCTATATTTTTTAGAAAAGGAGGAGTTAATTGCTGTTCAGTCAGGAGGAAAGAAAGCACAGTTTAGCACTCTAATTTTTGCTGTGAGGGTTAGAAACTCTCACCACTTATAATTGTCAGTTCATAAAACAGTGATTTGAGGGAAATATACCAGGTCTCAAAATTTAGAATTTCCAGTTAGAAACAGCCATTGAGGTTCAATTGGTTTTTAGGTCAGCCAACTGTGGCAGCATTTTTGGTGACCTTTTAAGAAGCTGATTTTGTATTACTTCCTATTTCACAATTTGGTTCAAAACACATATGAAATGTAAATGACTTTTATTCTGCCTAATAGTTTAGGGAAAATGTCCTGCAGTGGTCTTGACTACATCTGGTACATTTTAACAAAAAGCAGAGCTGTCAGGAATAAATTCCAGCAGATGAGCCTGCATTAATTTGTGAAGAGAGAAGACAGAAAAACTCACTTTGCATTTCAATTCCTTCTAACTAGAATTAAATGCAGGAATTGTATTTTCCATAATGTGGTTTCATTTTTTAACTTTCGCAAGTTACATAAAAATTCTTTCTAGCTGGCGTGAAGACCCCTTTATGTGTAGGGAGCATATTCAGACATGAGATCTATTACATGCTGTCTGTCTATACTAGGGGTGGAGGTCTGGCATTGTCTTTCATAACTTCTGCCCTTACCTGACAGCCTCCCAAAAGTATAACTGAAAACTGGTTTTGTTGTTAGTGTAGACTTAGCTATTGTGTATGTGGGGGGGAGGGAGTACAGTACACTTTCTGCATTACCAATCTCCATTGCAAACATACATCTATTCACAACAGGCATATTAAACAAGACTCTCTTTCTTTTGCAGATAAAGCCACAGTGTTCATTGAGAGATATTTTTAAAATATTTGAACCCCTTTTAGACATTGTTCAACTGGAATTCCCTCTGTCGCCCATCCCTCAAAAACATCTTCATTCCATTTCACAGTGTTTGAGTAAATAAGCTGACTTTAGATAGCATTTCCAGTTCTTCATTCATTCATCTTTCTTCCTTTGCAGGGACATTCCTGTAGATTTCAAATACATTGCAGAGCCAAGTATGCACTCCATGCCTGCAGTCACCTTGTCTCCAAACGGTAAGTTAATGTTTTACCTAGCCTTGTCTATAAAGGTTAGTGTCACCAGTTATATCAGTATCAATCCCACCATATGGCGATCTCTTGTATTATTTTGGGAGTTAGCTTAAGTTCCTTTCCAAATGACATAAGCTAAACCAGAAAAAGATACTCCTATAACAGAGTTAGAGTAAACAAACTGGGTGGAGTTATAGCAGTTACTGTATCAGTTTAAATTAAGACCTGGAGTTATACAAAAAAAAATCCTATGTGAACAAAGTCTTAATTTACTTTCTCTGTAGTGAAAGGCCCAAGTTAGTTTCTTTTTTTTAATTAAGTCTTTATTAACTCTGTGTGCAGCTGCAGTCAAAAAAGCAAATACAATGTTAGGAATCATTTAAAAAGGGATAGAGAATAAGACAGAGAATTGCCTCTATATAAAACCACGATATGCCCACATCTTGAATACTGCATATAGATGTAGTCGCCTCATCTCAAAAAAAATATATTGGCATTGGAAAAGGTTCAGAAAAGGGCAACAAAATTTATTAGGGATTTGGAACGGGTCTCATATGAAGAAAGATTGAAAAGACTTGGACTTTTCAGATTAGAAAAGAGGAGACTAAAGGGGGATATGATAGAGGTCTATAAAATCATGACTGGTGTAGACAAAGCGAATAAGGAAAAGTTGTTTACTTATTCCCACAATATAAGAACTAGGAATCACCAAATGAAATTAATAGGCAGCAGGTTTAAAACAAACGAAAGAAAGTTTTTCTTCACTCAGTGCACAGTCAACCTCTGGAACTCCTTGCCAGAGGATGTGGTGAAGACTAGGACTTTAACAGGATTCAAAAGAGAGCTAGATTGATTCATGGAGGTTAGATCCATCAGTCACTGTTAGCAAGGATGAGTAGGAATGGTGTCCCTAGCCTCTGTTTCTCTGGAGGTGGGTGACAGGAGAGGGAGCACATGAGGATTACCTGTTGTGTTCCCTCTCTCTGGGGCATCTGGTATTGGCCTCTTTCGACAGGCAGTTTAAAACTTCTCTTTCTGCAAGTGGTAGAAGGAGCAAACAAAGCTAAAAAGTGTAATAAAAAAGCATAAACGGGAGCAAAAGGGAAGACTATGTCCCTAAGATATGTCTGCTCTTTTCCTGGGAGCCTTCAAAGTCAATTATATGATCCCTGGTCAGTAGAGGGGGGATATGTACAGCAGACAAGGGTCACTGATCTCTTTAGCATGTCTCTTTGCCCACCTGGAAGCACCTGCATTGGATTTCCAGACAGAACTTTGTGCACTGTCTTCTCCTCCCTACCCACCACCAAAACAGGAAGAAAGGTAGACACATGATTGGTTGAGATAGCATCCCTCCTGTTTTCCTTCCAGACATTTCTCCTGTTTAACTGTGAACTTTTTTTAAAACACAAATAAACAGCTGGTTTGAAAATTAGATATTTAGAATTGTTTAAAATCTTTCAACACATTTTAGACCTGCTTTACAGTCAAGTAAGATTGATCTCTTAAAAACATACCAGAAAACCACTGGTAACTTTTTGTTGTCCCACAATTTAAAATCAGTAGTTAATGAGATGATCTGCATATTGTGAATTTTTTCCTAGTTTCAGTTATTTGATTGAACAATTAGAATATCTGCTCTCCTATCCTGTTCTTTATCTAAGCTTCTTCTGTATTTTAAAATGTGAAAGTCACCAGAGATAAACCGTGGATGGTATAGTAATGTGATATAGCAGAGTTAGTATAGGAAATTGAGCATACGTGTAGTGGCACACTTTCAAACTCTTTCTCATATTAGAGTCTGCTTTTATTAGTTGTAATAGGCAGAAGTAATCTCAATGAAATTTTTCCATGGATCTGACTGATAACTGTACTTAATGTCACAAATGGGTGAGGAAGAATTGCTTACAGAATTAGGTTTCTGGTTTGTATGATGAAATTTGTGTCTTCAGCACTAGAAATCTTTCTACACAATTGATGCATGCCGAGTCTGTACCTTTTTTCTGTGGGTGAACACGGCTAATAGCCATTCTAGGGTCCAGCTCTCATCTCTGATGTACACAAAAGAAGCCATGTATATTATTAAGCCAAATGCTTTATTAACACAGAATATTGTTGAAACTAAAACTGATAGTGAAAGTTCTAGAAATCTTTGTCAGATTAGTCTGATTCAAAATAAAACTGACATCTGCCTGAACTTTGCACATACAGGAAAGTGGCTGGCTTGTCAATCAATGGATAATCAGATTTTGATTTTTGGAGCTCAGAACAGATTCAGATTAAACAAAAAGAAAATCTTCAAGGGTCACATGGTAGCAGGTTATGCTTGTCAAGTTGATTTTTCACCTGACATGAGGTAAGTTCCAGTGAAAATTAACTTCTGTATTAAAGTTGTCATGAGACCCCCCCACTGAATTTGTTTTGAAACCCTTTGTAATGTACTGATATGCTGTTGTCCTATTAACGCAACATTTCAGAATACTATAGCCAAAAAGCAGGAGTAAAGAGGGAAATTTGCCCGTTTTCATTTGTTAACTTCGATAGATTCAGTACTAACATTTAGCCCGGTAGCATAAGAAATGAACATTTAGTTGAAGTATTCACAATGAACCCTTTGGCCCTATCTTAACCATTCTACCAGTCAGCCATTTTGTGCTGCTATGATCTTCAATCAACCAGAAGCCTTCCCTAGGTAGGGGGAATCTAAACTGTAATAGGCAGCTAAACTGCCTCCCACACCAGCCCAAACCCTGACACCAACCTACCTCAAAGAGAAAGGGAGAGGAGGAATCATACTGAGGGCAGACTGGGCTATAAGGGAGCCATTTATGAGACCTGAGCTTCACTACACCTGATCCTCTGTTATTGCAAGGGACTTTATAGCACCAGCAACATTGAGCAGGATGCTTCCTGTTCTAACTTGCACTGGAGCTAGGCAGCCATGAATCAGGGAGAGGTAACTGGTTTCTTTCAAACAGGCCTGCAGTAGAGTCACAAAAGTCCCCTAAAATTGAAGAAAAATCTCTGCAAATTTGGGGATTTTTTTTTCTATTTCCTCTTATCCTCTTAGTAGGCTCTATTACTCAAAAATCTTAATGTACAATTTCACAAAAATCACATTGCCTAGCACATTTACCTCACAGATGATGTGTGATGAATCACTGAGTAGCAAGAGCTCACGCTCATTAGAACCCATCCGCCATGCTAATTATTTGGAATGCTTATTGTCTGTTGAAACAGACTCTTGAATGGAAAGCTTATTGGATTTATTTTTTTTCCATTTCCCAGTACTAAATTATCCTTAATCTGTTTATTGCATTAATTTAAACATTATTTTAATGTTTACTTCATAATAATCTTCCAAACTGGAAAATAATAAAAATAGTTTTGAGAGTTTTTAATAAAGATTTTAATTGTTTTAATACAGCTATGTGATATCGGGTGATGCAGATGGAAAACTTAACATCTGGGACTGGAAGACAACAAAACTCTACAGTAGGTTAAAAGCACATGACAAAGTTTGTATAAGTGCTGTCTGGCATCCACACGAAACATCCAAAGTCATCACATGTGGCTGGGATGGTCTTATTAAATTGTGGGACTGAAGGATGTACTGCTATGAACTATATTTTGATAAGACATTTTTGTGAACCTCTGAGATTTCTCACCATGAACTCTGCTGAGGGTGGTTGAACTTCCAGCTGTTTTTGGGTTCTTCACTATTAAAATACACTCTGCACTCTTGGAAATAAGAAATCTTCCAGGCAGAAGACTCAGCTGAAAGGCTACTGTTCTAAGTATGACTTCAAGATCTGTGAGAAGCTGAGAACAGTTATGTGAACTGGTCGGAAACAAATATTAATTTGATAAGTTATTTTCTGTTTGATACACTTTTTTTCAAAATAAAACAATTTTTTCTAGTTTGCTATTTTGGATGCCACATGGTATATGATGTAGAAGTAAACCAGCAGTTCTGTTGTGTTCTGTAAATGCACAGCTCAGAAGAAAAATCTCTAATCTCAACTGCAGTATATCTTGAATATGCCCCCATTAATAGAGAGAACTCCTGCCTACAAAAGGATGTTTACACTTGCACTTGCCACATCAAAATTTCTGTCATTCAGCAGTGGTTTTTAAGGAACAGTGAATGACAAAAGTTTTGTTGATCAATTGCAAGTGTAGACATAGCCTGAATATACCCTGCAGCCTGTGTTCAATAAACATTCTGTCTGCTTTCTCATATTTGTATCTTGACTTAAACATGTACAGTACATGATACTGATAATGGAGGTTTCTCTATATCAGTGGTTTTCAAAGTATGGGTCACAATCAATTACTGGGTTGTGGAACATCAGGCACTGGCTCACTTTGCCGTAGCGACCAGGTCACCAGCAGGGGTGTTAAGGCAGGCTTCCTATCTGGTCTGATACCACAGACTATGATGCACCCTGGAAATGGTCAGCAACAGGTCCAGCCCCTAACCAGGGGGCCCAAAGGATTTTTCACAAGGCCCCACCCCCAGCTCTGCACTTGTTCCCAGGCAGTAGTAAGGGGGGGGGCCTTTGAGCAAGAGCAGTGAGCAGAGCTGCTTGCATACCTACACCTAGGAGCTGAGCCTGCTGCTGGCTGCTTCCAGGTCCCAGCGTGGTCCGTGGTGCCAGGACAGGCAAGAAGCTGCTAGAGGTAAGCCCATGCTCCAATCCCCTGTCCCAGCCCTGAATCCCTCCCTCCAAACCAAGAGCTCCTCCTACATTCCAAGGCCCTCATCCAAAACTCCAACCCAGAGCCCAGACTCTAGTCAAAAGACATAACTATGTTGGGTCATGGGCATCAACAATTTTCTTCAGTTGGGTCATGAGGGAAAAAAGTTTAAAAACTACTGCTTTATGTAACCATCTTCATCTGAAAGTTTTCTTTTACACTAAAAAAATTCCACCCAAAAAACAACATACGTTCCATATACGTTGATTATCATGCTTTACTCAGGCATATTTCTAAGAAAACTACATTCCCTGTCCCTTAATCATACTTGTTGTACGATTACAACAAGGTGCACTTTAGTACTCCCTGTTCTTCTATTACATGCTCCACGGTGTTTCCGTGCTAAGATGCTATGTACATACATGTCAGGTTTTTTTAAGAACTTATTTTTAATAAATCTGTTGTATAAATGTCTGGTTTTAGTTTAATCCATGCTTTAGCATATCTAAGTCAAATATTCATTATTCTTTGAGTTTGGGGGCTGGCATTTCCTAACGCCTAGTGGTGCCAAAGTACAAATGAATTATTTTTCTTGCTTGGATGATGATATTTTGGTATGCAAATGGGGACAGAAAAGAAATTCTAATACAACACTTAGCACCATATTATCTGACTATAAATGAATTGTGAAAATAATGAGAAAGGACAACCAACTTTTGGAATGCTCGAACTTCCAATCCACATTGAATAATGATTGAATTAACATTCTAAAATTATTGTAGATCAAACCATTGTTGTTTGATTATCCAGCTATTAAAGATGTCATAGGAAGCATAGTCATGTTGGAGAAGAAAGCCACTAAAGGCCCTTTCTTATGTGTACATATCTAACTCATAGGAAGCAAAGAGAAACTACGCTTGAAGGCCCAACATTTCTGAGTGAAGCTGAAATTTGTTGAGAAATAAATTTGAAAGTCTAGAAACTCAGAATTTATATTCCACAATCTTCTCAGCCTTCAGACTGAATCATAGTGTGCACCATCTATTTGACATTGGCACCTCTGACGGTAGGAGGGATTACAGTTCTGAGGTAAGATGAGATGCGGCTATCTCCTGCTGAGCTCTCAGGCAAGGCAGGTAGTCAGTCAGGGTTTCAGGGTTCCTAACATCCTCTACTTGGTCAGTAATTATAAACTTTCAGCAGCATGCGGGCATGTGTGTGCTCCTGCTGTAAAAAGTGTTAACCCTGTGCACTTGAGTCAACACAACAGACTCCCGGGAGCCCCCAGTAACTACAAATCAGGCAAGGATTAAATCACCCGAGCAGGTTTATTGCCAAATGACGTACATTAACAGTTGTTAGCAGACAATCTCAACGCTGAGCCACTGTGCATTCTGTAAGCCATGGCAATGTACCAACACATAAGTGAACATAGCACCCCCCCCCCCCCCCGCCGCCGCCGCTCCCGTTTCTCAGGTATAAACAAGTTACATCGCTTCTTACATGTCAGGTTACCACCCTCTGTTACCTAGTTATCACCCCTCACTTCTCAGAAAGGGGGTCTACTTACTATCCTTCATGCTGTCATTTTCTTATCTATCATACTGTCAACTTTGACCTGGTCCTGAACCTAGGTCAGTATGTCTGTTATTTATGGGGAGGCGGTTGGTACCAAGACTTTTCTTATTGAGATGTTCTGCTACTCCCCTCTGGCTCACGGCCTGTCCTGATCCCAGTGCCTCCCTATGTTCTTCCATGCTCGACCTAACTTACACAATCATACAATTATCAATAGGACCTCTTTCTTGGCTACCATGTTACTGAACCAAAGTCTTGTTCACTAGATTCCAGGCTTGTTGCTGTTTTTATATTACAGGCCTTTATTCAGGTCTGCTGACTCCATGTTACCAACCCTTAACTTACCACAGATCTTACATACTTCACAAGAGTTAATTAAATATCTGCACATAAAAAGACTTAGATTAAAAACCAGCATCCGAACTCAGCTAGAACCTGCCTTCTAGATCAGATCCTTTGTCTCCATCTGTTGTTCACTAAGTCAATCCTTGTGGAATTTTTAAAGCCTTCATGGGAATTTGCAGAGACTTTTAATTTGTAATTTTTTTCTCTCCATTAATATTATAAAAATTTATAGACTTCAAAAGTAAAGACTAGCTTTATGAAGTAATTCTCCATGGAGATAAATGGGCAGGACAACTCGGGGGCCTGTAGGGTGACAATCTGGGAGAGGGGACTAGTGGGGTTTTTATGGGGGCAAGGATGGGAACTGAGATCCACAACTAGAAAAGAGCCATGCTTCAGATTTTTCCAATAAATTCTCCATTGGCATAACTCTATGCATGCAAAAATTGCAAGCTGAAAGCAGTTCTTTTGTGAAGGGTCGAGTCAAGCAAGTCTCTATCTTGGTTCAAATTAATATATGCAATCTGTCCTATGGAATTGCCATGATAGCTCCATAATCATTGCACTTGAACTACTGTAATGTTAAGAAAATCTGAGTAACTTGTTGCCATTACAACTAAGATGTCTTTAGGGTGTCACAGGGAGGACTTTGCACATAAGCAAGCTACCAAATCCTTTTTTTCTGATCTCTGCCCTGGAGACTTCAAAGTTCCTCTAGCCAACTTTCTCTTTCCTTTTTACTGGTGGCATCTTCCCCCCACCACATATCCCCAAACAATGTGCTGATGAAGAGACTCGTTTTTGATGCCACTGGCCTCATCCTATGTTTTGTACAGACTTGGTAATAGTTTTTATTAAGATGCAGCTGCTTACTCCTTCCATTTGCAATCCAGTGCACAAAAATACTGTACCTACAGACAAACTGCTTTATCACATCGGCCAATTTTCAACTCTAGACAACTACTTTATAATACAACTAATCAGGAAAGAGTCATTGTGGATAGTTCTCTGAAGACGTCCACGCAGTCTGCAGTGGCAGTCAAAAAAGCAAACAGGATGTTAGGGAATAATTAAAAAAGGGATAGAGAATAAGACAGAGAACATATTATTGCCCTTATATAAATCCATGGTACACCCACATCTTGAATACTGCGTACAGATGTGGTCTCCTCATCTCAAAAAAGATATACTGGCATTAGAAAAGGTTCATAGAAGGGCAACTAAAATGATTAGGGGTTTGGAACGGATTCCATATGAGGAGAGATTAAAGAGACTGGGACTTTTCAGCTTGGAAAAGAGGAGACTAAGGGGGGATATGATAGAGGTCTATAAAATCATGAGTGGTGTAGAGAAAGCGAATAAGGAAAAGTTATTTACTTGTTCCCATAATATAAGAACTAAGGGCCACCAAATGAAACTAATGGGCAGCAGGTTTAAAACAAATAAAAGGAAGTTCTTCTTCACATAGCGCATAGTCAATCTGTGGAACTCCTTGCCAGAGGAGGTTGTGAAGGCTAGGACTATAACAGGGTTTAAAAGAGAACTAGATAAATTCATGGAGGTTAAGTCCATAAATGACTATTAGCTAGTATGGGTAAGGAATGGTGTCCTTAGCCTCTGTTTGTCAGAGGTTGGAGATGGATGGCAGGAGAGAGATCGCCTGATCATTACCTGTTCGATTCATTCTCTCTGGGGCACCTGGCATTGGCCACTGTCGGCAGACAGGGTACTGGGCTGGATGGACCTTTGGTCCGACACAGTATGGCTGTTCTTATGTACCATGCCTTCAAGCCTTGCAAACTCATTCTGAAAATCGACCAGACCAAGCACAAAATCTTTTCATGCTGTCTCTTCCAATTAATCACAATAAAAGCCTCATATTTGTTGGCCAAAACCCTCACATCTGACAAAGAGGGTAAACAGAACTATGGAACGCTGCTTTAACTAGACTAGCATCAGGATATTAGCAAACGTCTTTGATATGTGAATTGTTCCTCTGAATAGTATTTAGGGATTACTACTT